AGCACATTTTGTCAGGCTGGGGTCGGGGACGGGGTGTGGGAAGGAAGGAGGGCTCCTGTTGGGGGTGCAGGCTCTGGAGTTGGGCCAGAAATGAGGTGTTTGGAGTGTGGAGGAGTAGTTCCAGGCTAGGGCTAAGCTTTTCAGAGTGCAGGAGGGTGAGGGCTCTGGCTTGGGATTCAAGATATGGTGTGGTGCTGGGGATGAGGGGTTTGGAGCATAGAATGGGGCTCAAGGCTGGGGCAGTGGTTTGGGGTACAGAAGAGGGTGTGATAGTCCAGGCTCCAGGTGGGCTGCATTTCTGGTGGCTCCCAGGAAGCAACCAGCATATCTCTCCCAGCTCCTCGGTGGAATGGCCAGGGGGATCTGTGTGCTGCCTCTGCCCACAGCTGCCACCTTTGCAACTCTCATTGGTTGTGGTTCTCAGCCAAGGGGAGCCACAGAACCGGTGCTCAGGAGGGGGCATCACACTGAGCCCCAGAGTTGTCCCTTCGTATAGGAACCAGAGGGACGATATGCTGGCCACTTCCTGGGAGCCACATGGCGCTGGATAGGAAGTCTGCCTCACTCCGTACCAAGTGGACTTCTAATGGCTCGGTCAGCAGTACTGAGTGGAGCTGCCAGGGTGTAAATAGTTGACATCTGTTCAAGGGGCGTTCTGGTAAAAAATAGCCAACCGTAGCTTCAGTGCCATCCCTCCCAGGATTCCCAGGTTCAGTCGACTCTGCTCACTTCCTAGTTGTGCATTAATTGGTCCATGCCAATCCTGTTGTAGTGCACTAACATTTCCCGAGCATGCTTCAACGTATAAATAGCATGAATGCATTACCTCACTGTATAGACAAGTCCTAGGTCTTCATTATGATTTTAGGTAAGCTAGACATGCATGCAGACTGTTGTTTCTCTTTTTTGCTTTTCTCCTACTTGTAAATAAACCAGATTTCTATTTTAAAAGACTGATTGGTAAGAGTAGAATCCGCTTACAATCTGGCCTTATGTTTGGCTGGCTGAATGCATGCAGGAAAATCAAATGGGATTAGTAGCAGTGATGTAGCAGTCAGAAGCCTTGGGATTGGACACGTTCTATCTTGTTATAACTCTCTTTTAATTGACCCTAACCCTAGCTATATATCAAAGCTGCCTTTTTCCTTAGGTCACCCCCAGTGGAAACCAGGAATTCAATATATATTGCTTATCTCTTCAGTGAATAATTTTTCCTTCCACCACAGCAGTTCCCCGAATGGGATTGGATTGAATATGCTATATCTCTAGGACTTTGTTTTGTCAGGATTTACAAGATTCACAATTCCATAACCTATTAACTCACAGTTAGAATACTTTTTATGGATGTTGCCTCTAAATTCTCCCATATCTAATTCCCTCTGCTCTGTGGGTTGTGCTCACAAAAGCTAATAATACTATATCACCTGGATGGATCGGTCTTCAGCTATTGTTAAGACTGCACTGATCACAACACATCCACAATTCTTCTCGCACTCTTGCCTTTCTTCTCCACATTTGTCCAAAACGTTTAACAATGTCATCTTCCCATCTTTGTGGAGGTTGACCAGATGGTTTTTTCTGTTCTCGCAGGTACTACTCAGCAATAATTGCGGTCCACCTATTCTCTGTGAGTCATGCTGTGTGGCCTGCCCATCACATTTTGTTATGTCTGCTTTCCACGATAATATCTTTCATGCCTCTGCGTTTTCTGATCATTTCATTTGGAATATGATCCAGAAGGGAAATTCCCAACATAGCTTGCTCCATTGCCCTTTCAGCTACCAATAGTCGCTGCTCTTTTCTCTTCATCAGTGCCTATGTTTTGCTGCCAAACAACATGGCTGGCAGCACTGCTGAATTGAAGATATTTGTATGTGTGGTCTTATCGATTTTTCCTTTAAGGACATCCTTGATAGAATTGAATGCACACCATCCTGCCTGAATCCTTCATGAGAGTTCTCTGTTCAGGTCTTGGTGCATATTAACTTCTTGGCCCAAATAAATATACTGTTCCACTTCTTCAATTTCTTCTCCTGTTATTGTTATTTGAGCTTTTCATAAGACGGCTCATCGCATGTATTTCATTTTGCAGTGGTTCATTTTCAGACCGACCTGACTGCTTTTCTTGTCAAGTCTTTGTAGCATGCTCTGCAACTGGTTGGTGCTTTCAGCAATTAATACAATGTCGTCTGCTAATCTGAGATGAGATAATCGTTCTCCGTTTATGTTGACATCACTCCTTCAATTGATCTTGTTCATAACCATTTCGAGGCATGCAGTGAATAGTTTCGGTGAAATCGTATCTCCTTGCTTCATGCCTTTTTCAATTGGGATACAGAGGGGAGTTTTGAGGAGAATAATATCTGTTGTACATCCAGTATTCGCTTCCTTCAACAAATTGATATATTGCTTGTTAATCCCCTGCTCTGTGAGTGCCTTTAATATTGTGTTGACTATATAGATATATATAATATATTTATAAATAGATATATTTATTTGTTAGTCTCTAAGATGCTACAGAACAACTCATTGTTTTTTAATTCCAACCTGTCAATCTTAGTGCACCGTCACACACAGTGTTTCTGTTTCCTTGATTTACAGCTGTTCATGTGATTGTTTCCTATTTCCAGCCACATGGACTGTACTCATCTTTGTTACTCTTCTTTGAATTCCTTCCAGTTTGTTGACCTTTCTCTGGAACTGTGAAGCTCAGATGGAAAATAAAGACACTTTTGTGCCAAAGAATTGTGGGGAAGCATGTCGGAACAATTTTGTTTCATGTGGTTTGTTTTGATATTTTTATTACAGGGGTTCTTTCAACTTTTGGAAATGGCTATGTTCTTTTTATGTCCATAAAAAAGAAAAAGAAGTTAAGACCTGCTGAGATAATGACTGTCAATTTAGCGGTGTGTGACTTGGGGATTTCAGGTAATTCGATGTTTTAGTTCTTCTTTTAAATTTTCTGCCATTTCATTAATTAATTAATCTATGATATGTGAGGCCAAATCCCACCCTGAGTTGTGGCTATAGGACCACAGGATGTGCTTGTGATTGCAGAGTTCAGCCCATTGTTTCTAGTCCATTGTTTCCACATTTTTAAAAAAGATCGGAAAACATATTACAGAGCATTTTTAGGGAGGAGAGGATCTAGAGTGACTAGATGTCCCCATTTTTATAGGGTTTTTCTTATATAGGTGCCTATTATCCCTTATCTTCATCCCAACATGATTCTGGGAGGCATTAACAGTGTTGTGAGCTAGACATGGAAAGTCATTCTTCCACTCAGCTCTGCGCTGGTTAGGCCTCAGTTGAAGTATTGTGTTCAGTCCTTGGCACCGCATTTCAAGAACGATGTGGAAAAATTGGAGAGGGTCCAGAGAAGAGCAACAAGAATGATTAAAGGTCTAGAGAACATGACCAGTGAGGGAAGACTGAAAGAATTGGGCTTGTTTAGTTTAGAAAAGAGAAGACTGAGAGGGGACATGAGAGCGGTTTTCAAGTATCTAAAAGGTGTTGCAAGAGGGAGGGAGAAAAATTGTTCTCCTTGGCCTCTGATGACAGGACAAGAAGCAATGGGCTTAATCTGTAGCAAGGGAGGTTTAGGTTGGACATTAGGAAAAACTTCAATTTTTATTAAACTCATGAGACATATACAAACATGGGGAAAAGAACTGTATAGACCCTTTAAAAAATGGCTTGGATTTCAGAGGCATAAGGAAATCTACCAGGAACACAAACCTGACATTCACTCAACTGACTATAGGGTGGGATCAGTGTGGAACAGCAACAGGCCATGTTAAACTTCATTAGATTCCAGTCCTGTTATTTCTCATTTGTTAATACACCTTATAAAGAAAAGTCATTGTCATTATACGTTCCGGGGAACAGCATGATTGGAACTGAGAGTTTATGTAAGATGTTTCTGGCTGAGTGATCAGCATATGGATTTACAAACAAGTCTCTGCTGTGAGATTTGCTTGTTTCTAAGAGTGTTAGCATAAAAATGTCTGCTGTAGCGTCAAGATAAATCCCTTAGAATTATTCACTAGATATTTTCCATCTGTAACACTTAGAAGACAGCTAATGAAATTCAGATTGGAGTTGTTTCTTGCCTATCTCATACTTGAATTATGCCCTGTGAATCCAACTCATTTAATAGTGAAATTTCAGATTGCTGGTGACCTGGATAATCTTTGTAAACATACATTCATTTCTGATGCTGGTAATGCATAGCCCACAGTGTGTTTAGAATTTTGATCAGAGTGAGCATTTTATGATCAGGACTTTGAGTTCTATTTCCAGGTCTCAGACATACAGTGCAATCTTGGACCAAATTAATCTCCCTATGCCTCAGTTTATCTTTGTACACAAGGTCTATAATTAGCATTGAATGAATGCTTTGGAAGAAATAATCCATTTGATTTTTCTGATTATGTAATGCTGTGACTATTGCAGGCTGAAATTGTTTGGATGAGTAGTTTATTCACTGAAAAATACAGGTTTAAGCAACCTGAAACTATTTGCACATTTGACAAATTTGATCTTACTCCTGGGCAAAAAAGCAGATATCTTACTCTAACTCAACCTTTCCAGATGACTGTATCCCTTTCAGGAGTCTGATTTGTTTTGTGTACTCCCAGGTTTCACCTCACTTAAAAACTATTTACTGACTAAATCAAACCTAAAAATACAAATGTCACAGAACACAATTACTAAAAAATTGCTGACTTTCTCCTTTTACCATATAATTATAACAAACATTGGAATATAAATATTATTTGCTTTTCAGTATAGAACAGTATAAGCAAGTCATTGTATGAAATTTTAGTCTGTACTGCTTTGGCTGGTGCTTTTTATGTAGCCTGTTTTAAAAATATGAAATATCTAGATGAGTTGATGTACCTCTGGAAGATCTCTGCCAACCCTCAGGGGTACATGTACCCTGGCTGAGAACCATTGCCCTAACCCAGAGCTACTCAACTTTGGAAGCCCCGGGGGCCACAATGATACTCACAGCATATACCAAGCGTTGCAACTTAAGTGTGGTTGTATATACATGCAAATATATATGCAAATATATGCAAATAGCTTTTCACACTGACAGTCATGAATACCAAGAACTTCCCACAACGCCCTGGCACTCCCGGAACCTTTTCCCTGGGGGCTAGAAACGCCGACCCCCTGTGCCCCTATGTTCCAGCCAGCCTGTCAGCATGCATCTTTCAGTGCTCGCCTGGCCTGGGAGACACCTTGCCATTGTGGAGCATGTTCCCAGTGGAGGCCATGTTCAAAGGATCCCACTCGCGAGCCGCATGTTGAGCTCCACGTAAACCTAAACTGCACTGCAGGCCACAAACAACCGGCCTGCTGACTGCATGTTGAGTAGTCTTGCTCTAACCTATGTTTGAAGAAACCTACATTATCACTTATCTCCCGGCATTGTCCTGTAGTTTGAAAAAAGGGAGGGTTTTTTTTTTTTTTTTAAAGACTGTTTTGTTAGCATCAACTTTTCCAATGACCCATTGTTTCCTCTCTCTTTAGTTATAGGAAAGCCATTCACTATCATTTCCTTCTTCTCTCACCGATGGGTGTTTGGCTGGATGGGCTGCCGCTGGTATGGATGGGCCGGCTTCTTCTTTGGCTGTGGGAGCCTTATCACTATGACAGCTGTCAGCCTGGATAGATACCTAAAAATCTGTCATTTAACTTATGGTAAGAAGGAACATTTGCACTGAGTGACACTCTAGCTAGTTTTTTCTCCCCATCCTCACTGGAGACTGGTTTAGGAGCATCAAGCTGAAATGTAATGCAATCATGTTTCCTACTCCTCAGAACAGTAGGATTGTCCTAGAGAGTAGTTTAGGCACAATCAGGAATTTAACAAAATCTAGTATCAGTGGAAATACTTTCATTCCCCTTTAAAAATTTTAGTCATTGAGCAATGTTTTGCAGTGTTTACAATCCAAACACTGCAGCCTGGAGCTAATTCCTGGCACCCAGAAGGTGAACAGAATTAGGAAGAAAACTGAGTACTTTGGATAATCCTTTTTCATAGTCCAAGTAAAAATTAGAAGAGAAAGAAAGAAATAATATAAACAAGGATAAATAAATTAGTAAGTTTACACTTTTACAATTATTCCGGTTTTGATCATTCAGGGTATTGAGAATAGTAACTAGAAACACAGATTTTTAAGATAAAAAAGGACTGTTCAAGGGTGGGGAAACCTTTTTTGAGGTTGGGGTTTTTGACCAACAGAAAATTCAGTCAGGGTTGTTGTTTCTCACTTGTATGCGGCAACAAACAAAAACAAAAAGAAACCCACTCACTGATACTCATGGCCCCCATCTGAGAAAGAGAGACACATTCCTCACACACCAGACCCCGGGGCCCAGCCTAGTAGATTTTCTGTGCTCCAGCCCCACAGTGGGCAAGCTGGGGGCCGCACCTGGACTCTGGGCCTTAGGTTCCTCACCTGGACCCCTTGTATAACATAGGCCATTGAATTTCACCAAGCAGTTTCTGCATCAAGCCTATATCTTCTGGTTGAGCTAGAATGTATCTTTTAGGAATACAGACAGTCTTGATTTAAAGACTTCAAGGGTATGTCTACTCTGCATCTGGGAGTGTGCCCTTTCTGTCCGGACATTGATATACAGATGGTGACTAGGGCTTGCTGCCTAAGTCCAAGCCTGCCCAACCCTCTTGGTTGGAGATGGAGTGACTAGCCCAAGCCACTGTCTGTTACAACTCCCATGCTCAAATTAGGCTACCATGAGTCTATCAGGGCTGGGAAGTATGTCCCAGATGCAATGTAGACATACCCCAAGTGCTGTAGAATCTATCCTTCCCCCACGTATGTTGTTCTAATGGTTATCTAATCTCATTGTACAAACTGTACATCTTATTTCCACTCTGAATTTGTTTGATTTCAACTTTCGGCACTGGGTCATTTTACACCCTTCTCTGCTAAAATAACAGAATGGTAAATGTAACAAAGAAATTGTTTGCATTAAATGGTCTGACCAGCTCTTAACTGCAGGTGTAGAATTTCATGTTGTCTTTAGCCAAATATAAATAATCTGCAATTATAACTGTTGAATTATCTTCCAGGTACCTGGCTTAAGAGACGTCATGCCTTTATCTGTTTGACAATAATCTGGACGTACGCTATGTTCTGGGCCACTGTGCCATTTGCTGGTTTGGGGAACTATGCTCCCGAGCCATTTGGAACCTCGTGTACTCTGGATTGGTGGCTGGCTCAGGCTTCCGTGGCTGGACAGGCATTTATTTTGAATATTCTTTTCTTCTGCCTCTTGCTCCCCACTGCAGTGATTGTGTTTTCCTATGTTAAAATCATTGCAAAAGTCAAGTCATCCGCCAAAGAAGTTGCTCATTATGACACCAGGATTCAAAACAGTCATGTACTGGAAATTAAATTGACCAAGGTAGGAAGGAGACATTTGTATCAAAGTTTGACCATAAAACCAGGTGGGGAGAACTACAGATCCTATAATTGGTACTGAATATTTGTTAAGCTCTTTTGTGTCACCGGCACAAGCTTGTGATAATCTACAATGCTAGTTACAGTCTTAACTCTCCAGCTGTGTCTATACTGCATCCCTTTTTCGTAAAAGGGATGCAAATTAAACATATCACAATTGCAAATGAAGTGGGGATTTAAATCTCCCCCACTTCATTACATAAAAATGGCGGCCGCTTTTTTCCGGCTCGGAGCTTTGCCGGAAAAAAGCGCCAGTCTAGACACGGATCTTTCGGAAAATAAAGTCTTTTCCGAAAGATCCCTTATTCCTCATTTTAAGAGAGATAAGAGATCTTTCAGAAAAGGCTTTATTTTAAGAGGGATAAGGGAACTTTCGGAAAAGGCTTTATTTTCCAAAAGATCTGCGTCTAGACTGGCGCTTTTTCCCAGCAAAGCTCCGAGCCGGAAAAAAAGCGGCAGCCATTTTTATGCAAATTAAGCGGGGGAAATTTAAATCCCCGCTTCATTTGCAATTGCGATATGTCTAATTTGCATCCCTTTTACGAAAAAGGGATGCAGTCTAGACACAGCCTCCCTGTATCAGGAAGATGAGGGTAGCACAGCTGGATCCACTTTAAAGCTGCATGACTTCGGACCCATCATTTAATTGCTCTGTATCTCTGTTTGCCCATCTGTAAAATGGGAATAATAATACTTTCCTATCTCACACATGTAGTCATGAATATAAATTTAAATATGTTTGTGAGGCACTCACAGCATTCCTGTGAAAGGGGACACACAAATAGATAGATGAAACACAGAGTTTTACTGGCGAATTCAAAGTATGGACAATTTGTATTCTTCCATCAAAGAAGATACATGACTAAGAAAATATCATGATTATGTGACTTTATTTATTAAAGATTCACAATGATTTTTTTTTATAAAAAATAACGTCTAGACAAAAATTCCAATAAGGCCTCTGTTGTGACAAATGTTGGTTACCTGTCCTTATTTTGCTTTTCTTTCTTTAAGAAACCAGAACCTTGGAAATGTTTCCTCCTTCTGATTGTATCCTTTTTCTGAGTGGGAAACATGACAGCCATTATCTTGACACTGTAGTATTGAACTGGGAACCTCCAGAGCTAAAAGCATCAGTCTCTAGAGTTTGAGCCAAAAAACCAAGTTTCCAGAGACATAAGCCCATTTTCTTTGCTCAGATTTGGGGGGGTAGTGGGGGGGGAGTGGACTTGTAACACTGAGATCAGCATGTTTCCATGTTTGGAAATGAACTGAAATCAACAAGTGATTTCACTACATAAAACAGATCTATAGATTTAAATAGTCTAAAATCAAAAGGGACCATTATGTTCTCCTCATCTGACCTTTTTTCAGATCACAGAACTTTCTCAAAATAATCCCCAGAGCAGATTTTTTAATCAAATCTTGATTTAAAATTTATCCGTGTTGGAGAATCCACCATGAATGACCCTGAGGAAAATGATCCAGAGATTAATTACCCTTTCTGTTAAAAAATGTATGCCATTTTTCCAGCTGAATTTATCTACCTTCATCTTTCAGCCATTGGACTCTTTTCTTTCTCTGGTGGGCTGAAAAACTCATTAAATATTTGTTCCCTGTGTAGTTACTTAGGATATTACGTAGCTTAAGTCAATTACGTAGCTTAAGTCAAAATAGCTTAATTTGGCTTTTGGCACTGTCTTCATAGCAGGAAGTCGAAGGAGGAAACTCTTCCTTTGAATTCCCTTACTCCTCGTGAAATGAGAGTTACCAGGAGTCGGAGTAAGAAGTCCTCCAGTTTGACATTATTTCAAAATAAAGACTTATAGTTTAGAGGCGCACTATATTATTTCGGAATAACGTCAGTTATTCCAAAATAACGCTGCTGTGTAGACATACCTTTACAGACTGTAATCAAATCACCCCTTAACCTTCTCTTTGTCAACCTTAATAGATTGAACTCAAACACTTAAAGACATGTTTTCCAATCTCATTATCATTCTTACGGCCCTGCACTGCATCCTCTCCAATTTATTAAAATCCTTCTTGAATTGTAGACAACAGAATGGAACACAGTATTTCACCCACAGTTGCACTAGTGCCGAATAGAGATAAAACAGCAGATCTACTCATACTCAAGATTTCCCTGTTTATGCACCCCGGACTTACATTAGATCTTTTGGCCACAGTTGCTCACTGAGAGTTCATGGGTAGAGCCCAACATATCCATGGATATCAGCTTTATATCCACATATATCCACATATTTGGGCAGATGTGAATACTTGTGGGCCGTTTTTATGGGTTGCGGATGGATGCAGCTCTACATTTTATATCTAAAGCCTTACAAATCTGGGGATATTTGCTTTATATCCGCTGATATCAATGGATCCTTTTTGTATCAGATATGGGTACAAATCTGATATCTGCCCAGACCTCTACTCATGTTCTGCTGATTATCCACCACAATCCTCAAATCTTTTTCAGAGTTGCTGCTTCCCAGGATAGAGTTCGATATCCTGTAAGTATAGCCTACATTCTTTGTTCCTAGATGTAGACATGGATTAAAATACATATTGTTTGCTGTGACCATTTTTCCAAAAGATCAAGATCATTCTCAACAAATGACCTGTCCTCTTCATTATTTATCACCCCACCAATTTTGGCTTAATCAGAAACCTTATCAGTGATTATTTTGCTTTTTTTTTAGGTCACTGTAGCGGCTTCCCGCTCGTCACAGCGCCACCTGCCGTCGAGTTGGGGAATTAATACGGCTGGCAGGTGGCCGGATCCCTTTCAGGACACTGCCCTCCAGCAATGTCCACAACAGCCTGAGCTTCCCCCTTTCCAGGGGAAGTTTGTGAGAGGCCGGTAGGCCTTCAGGAGGCGGTCCCTCCGCCTCCAGCACAGTGGGAGACGTGCCTGCCTCCCTGCGTTACCGCGCCTTAAAACAGTCCAGGCGGGCGAGTCTCTTCCCGGCCTTCCTTCAGGTCGGGCCAAGAGGTAATTGTTCGCGCGCCCGGCCTTGCTTCAGGTCCGGGCCGCAGAGAAATAAGCCCATCACTTGTCAGTCTATTATCATACAGTTCGGGGCAGGGCAACCGTTCTAGTCCTGTCCCTTTAAGAGTTCCCGCCCGATGCACGGATGGTCCCAAACGCACCGTAGGTAAGCCCGGGCTCTTGAGCAGGGCGGTCAAAAAATACCGCCAGTCAAACCCAGGCCCTAACTCCAGGCGGGGCGGCAAATGGCGGCCAGGCCCAGACGCCAGGCATGGCCGCACCCAAACACCAGTTTGTAGAAGCTCCTCCTTCAGGAGCAGGCCCGTGAGGGCACCGGCAGCAGCAGCGGTGAGGGGGAGACTGCCACCCGGTTAGTGGGTGGCAGGGGGGGCGCAGGCCCACCCACCTCACTGCACCCCAGCCCAGGGGCCCTGATGGAAGCAGTGCAGCTGCGACTGGCTCAGCAGGGCTCCGGCCCGTAACTTGCTGGCCGCGGACGGCTCTCCGCCCGGACTACCCCCTGGGCCACTCTCGTCTCCCCCTTCCCAGGTACCTGTAGCTCCAGCAGGTTCGTCGGGGAGTCGAGGCCGGTGTCATCCCATCAGGGTCCGGGCAGCCCAATCCAGGGGTCAAGGGGTTGGAGCTCTGCAGCATCCCATGGGCTCGTCCGGCCCCGGCGTTCCAGTACCCATCGGGGTTCCAGCCAGTCCCCCGGCTCGGGCCAGTCCTCTGGGTCCCTGGGAGGGTCTGCTGGCTGGGCTGGGCCCGGGCCATTGGGGTTCCAGCCAGTCCCCCGGCTCGGGCCAGTCCTCTGGGTCCCTGGGAGGTCCTGCTGGCTGGCTTGGCCCGGCCTCCGTAGACCTGGCAGGGATGCCTTGGCTGGCCTCCGGGGAGGCCGCTGAGAGCGGCCTAGCCCCGGTCCTAGTCTCCCCAGGGAGGAGCTCTGGACAGGCCTCCGTCTCCTTCAGAGGCTGGGCCCTGACTGAACTCCCTGGCAGCCTTCTTATAGTCCTAGCCCCACCCTTTGACTTCTGTTCGGGTGAGGGGGCGGGGCTAGGCTGGGCCCAAAATGGCTCCCAGAGGGGTTCCTCCACCTCCGGCTCAGTGGGGGACCACTCTACCCCACTACAGTCACTGACTAAAATGTTAATTAGTGTGGGGCCAAAACCTAATCCCCATCGATGTCACAGAAACATGCTATCTTAAGGATCATTTCCCATTTACAATTACATTTTCAGATCTACTAGTTAGCCAGTTTTTAACCCATTTACTGCATTCCATGCTAATTTCATAACATTCTAGTGTTCTAATTAAAATGCATGCATCAAATCAAATGATACACAGAAGTCTAAGCATATATTAACACTATTACCTTTGTTGACCAACCTTTCAATCTCATCCAAAGAGAGATATAAAGTTAGTTTGACAGGCTATGTTTTTCACAAACCCATGCTGATTTGCATGAATCACATTACCCTCCTTTGGGTCTCCACTAATTGAGTCCCATATTCGTCATTTCATTATCTTGCCCTGAACTGATATCAGGCTGACAGGCCTATAATTTCCCAGGTCATCCTATTTGTGTTTTTTAAAAATTGGCAAAACTTAGCTTTCCTCCAGTCTTCTAGAACTTCCCCAGTGCTCCAAGACTTACTGTAACAGTACAGGTTGAACCTCTTTGTCCAGGACCCTCTGGTGTGGCAACATCCATGGTCCAGCAAGACCACATATATTGCTGGACCAAAGGGCTGGGTGGCCACGGGGTTGGGACAGCAAAGCCATGGCAGCCAAGGGATAGCAGAGCCACAGCAGCCCTCACGGCCCTGAGGAGTGGAGCCCCAGTGGCTCCAGAGCAGCGGATCCACAGCAGTTCTGGTGGCCCTGGGATAGTGAAGCTACAGAAGCCCTGGCGGCCCTGGGGATCAGAGCCATGGTGCTTGAGAGCC